AATAACAAAAACATCTCTGCATTATTAGCTCTATGTTCTGCACAAAACCCAAAGATAGCTCCATAGTAGCCTCTGTGAAGAAAGTTAACTCTAATTCAGCTCAAACCAGCACACTGACTGAAGGAGGTTTCTCGATCTCTCATTCAGTTCTTCTCTGGATTGTTTTATATATATTTATCTCTGTATATCTCTATCTATAGATATATAGAGATAAATATAGTTATAGATATATATAAAATCTTGCAGTGCGTAGATAATACCTGTGTGAGCATCTTTTTCAGGTAGGGGTGTATCTATCTTTCCAAGTCCCTCTAGCTTATACAAAACATCAAAATATTAACCTCTTCATGTAAAGTTTGGAGTGAAATGACCTTCTGTTTTCATTATAATTCATCAAGTATCACAAACCATCAACAAGCTCATAAGTCCCAATGAAGAAGGAATGACTTTTGACGTGTTGATTTGTTTATGGGTTTTTTTTGTTTATTTTGTTTGTGTATTTTGCAGTAACTGTATAGAATAATTCTACAGGATAAGATGTCACCAAAACCGTATTCAGGACTTTTGCAATAAGATAATGGGGATTGAGTTGCAGTCTGAAGAGTTAACTGTGTCCAGAAGGGCTTCAGTATTTTCCATCTCTATTATCTCCCAGAAGCAACATGCTGTATAAATGAAGGGATTAAGTCAGAAGCCTGTTTCCCTTGACAGCAGCAGGTCCTTTGGTAGAATGGTACAGGGAGAGAATTTTAATTTTTCTTAATGTGATAGCCTGCAGGGTAATGTGTTGAAATCTGGTGTATTTCCCATCAGTAGCAGGAAGAGGAAGGTATATTTCAGTAAAGTAGCTTGCCCCATTACTGATATACATGTAACACAGTTCTGAACCCTTGACTTTGCTGTTACATTATCTTTATAATAAACCATTGAGAGTTCATTCTCTTTAGCAGTATTGAGTCAGTGTTAATGGTGTAATTCAAATGAGATTTGGAGTACAAACATGGGATAAAAGCCTCTAAATATATATTATAGCCATCCTCCTGACTATTCAAGCATTTCAAAGACTGTTTCTAAACTGGTTTGCAAGGGCATTTATTTGGAATGGAACTTATAACTCCCCAACCTTATAAAGCTTTAGATTTGAATTTTGGTTGTATCAAAGCTAGTTCCCAGTGATGTAATTTGTTATGACCAAGTGTCATTTCATCTGTACTTCATGGTTGAACTTGTCTGACATAATCCAGCTACTGTCCACAAAATCATTCCTCTGGATAGAGAACTAGATCTGCAATTATTCCCATTGCTAAAACTTGGCAGTAGATGCTGAGCAGGCCTGAAATGAAGACATGTATCTCACTGCTATCACACTATCTGTGCTTGTATTTGGCATAGAAAAAATATTTATTTTATATTAGAAATAAGACTTTTATTTTTCTGTGCTTTATTTACAGACAGGTGAACAAATTCATGTCAGTTTGCCACTGTCTCAGCAAGTTTCTAATGAAAGCAGGCTCTCTATGTCTGAATCTGTGTCAGAGTTCTTTGATGCACAGGAAGTGCTTCTGTCTGCCAGCTCATCAGAAAATGAGGTAGGCTATGACAGCATGCTACAGCTTTGCTGTTGGACTGATGCAGGTATTGCTACCAATAGTGATTTACTATTTTGTTTGTAATGCTATTTATAATAAAAAGGTATCAGAATGTGTAAGGTGTAGATAAATTAACCTGAGACTACCTTGTTAAGGGGTGTAGAAATTCCCTGAAATGAAAAACTGACTTGAAAGTAATTTCTATCAGTAGCTTATGTTCAGTACATGTCCTCTCTAGGCTATGGCAGTTTCAGATAAGGATAGCATAGACCAGAATAGTTATGTCTGACTATGCAGATCATGCAAATCAACACTTTGGTCCTCCCAGTTCTCCACTAGACACTTGTTGAAGAATGGCTAAGGGAACAGGGGCACAGCCCCAAGGGAGCATTGTGTGAGCAAGAGTCAAGCAAGGCACTATGGGAACTCTGAGCAGAAGTAGGCCTCAAGAATTTAGCTTCTCAGCATTAGAATTTAGCTCCTCAGCATAATGTTGCAAGCCCAAGGACAGGCTATCGGGAAAACAAAGAAGAATTCTCCTGAGAATAAAGAAGACTTCTTCACAGCTGCAACCCCAAGCAGAAGAAGTATATAAATGTAACTTTTAGAGCTTAGATAATTCTCTTAGGTAATGCTAAAGGATGAATAGGCACATTTATCATGTACCGTATAAAAGAAGAACTGAGCTAACAATAAAGATGGAGCTTCCTCTATCACTCACACCGAGTCAGCTGCTTGCTTCCCAGCGCGTTTTTCCCCCGCAACAGACACTGGTTAAGATTTCTAGTTGGACACATGAAGAATTTATACTGTATTTTGGCTTTTGTTTTTCTATATAGCACACACTAGGTCTGGCATGTTATACAAGACAATACCCTACCTAACCTGATGATTTCTACTGTGTCCATTGATGTTAAGCATCAAGGAATTAAGAAAATTAATCAGTGGAAGGAGGACAACACAAGGGATTTAGATTTTTAAATATTATTCTTAAAAAAAGCCTTCTACTATGCATATAAAGTTATTCTCTGTAATGAAAGAAGTAGACAAAAATAATATTTCTGGAAAAAATAATATTTCTGAAAAAATATTTGTTAAAAACATTTCTTAAAATCAGTCTTAACACTGATGGGATTCTTGTTTTGCAAAATGATAGGTCAGTGTTTATATAATTGTTTTTTCTGAAACACAAGCTCCATTTTATTTTTTGGTTTTTTATAAAGAGCACAAATCTGACTCTCTCTTCTCACCTCCCATCCCCAGCTCATTATGTTGTCACAATTTTTTGGTCATCTCTGATCTCACTTGAAGCCGTCTTTTACAGATCCAGTGTCTCTATTTGGCTTCAGAATAAAGAATTCAGAAACATGAGGAGAACATAGCATTTGTTTTGACACTTTTAGTGCGTTGGCAGTATGGGCTGATTGAAACAGTTGATTTAGTTAAAAACTAATTGGGTAGAGACTATTTCTTTGACTATTTGTGTTTCAGTTAACTATTTCTGTCTAATTTGGCAGTATATTTTATATGTATTTGAGTTAATTGATACTTTGTTTATGTTTTAGGCTTCTGATGATGAATCTTATATCAGTGATGTGAGTGACAATATATCTGAGGACAACACCAGTGTTGCAGACAACATTTCTCGGCAAAGTATGCTGTGTTTCAGACTGGGAAATTACGTTGGTTATGTTCATGTACCAGAATTACTGCATGTCTGTACAGGACCAACTCAGCTGAAAACAGTGTAGCTGGGCTTGCTTGTTCTGGCAGTGATTTGGTTCAATGGAGAAGTCTGTTTTTCTTAAGATAATATTTTTTTCCCTTCCCAGTTCTTAATGGTGAGCTGACTGGAGGCGCATTCAGAAATGGGCGGAGAACTTGTCTCCCAGCTCCCAGCCCTGACACCAGTAATATCAATCTGTGGAATATTTTGAGAAATAACATTGGCAAAGATCTTTCCAAAGTATCCATGCCAGTTGAGCTAAATGAACCTCTGAATACCTTGCAACATCTTTGTGAAGAGCTGGAATACAGTGAACTCTTGGACAAGGCCTCTGAAACAGATGATCCTTATGAACGCATGGTAATAAATTTAGTGTGGCATTTCTGTCTGTATTAAAAAGGGAGCTGTTGAGTGGAGGTCTGTGTAGGGTCTTCTTGCTCTTCCTGTTCACAGACAACAGACCTCCCTGCTGGGTCAGAAGAATGCTGTGAACAATTATAGGTGGCAGGTTTGATCTGAACAGGGCTGAGGAACTTTTCTTGACCTCAATCCAAGTCCTGCAATTGTGACATTTATTTAAGACTGATCTCACACTTTATGACTGTGTATGTAGGCATTGGTGGTTTCTAACTCTGCAGCATCCTCTCTTGGTTATGACTGATCAAGTCCAGCAGCCTCCAACAGCTAATCAAGTCTGTGGCTGGCTTATGGTCAATATAGGTGGCAATAAGATGTCATTCTAGGCAATTTCTAATAGGGAAGTTTCAAAACACCAGAACAAAGTTTGCCTGGGCAGCTTGACTTCAGCTGTCCTCTAAGTATGCCTTAGCTTATTAACTGACAGCCAACAACCTCCGTTCAGCTCTCAGGGTGCTTTGATCTGTCATGTCTCCTTTTCCTCAGAAGAGGCTGAGAAAGGCTATAATGGGAAGTTAGCAGTGTTGTTCCTGAACATAACTGGTGTTTCCTGGTGTGAGTTGGCAGCACTGTGGATAACTGGGAGAAGAGAGCTTTCCTGTGGCTGTCATGCAATCACACACTCAAGTCCATGAACTGCCATGTTCACAAGGCCTGCAGGAGAGTGAGGAGTTGTAAACACTGGTATTTTTTCCTTGCCACCGAAGAAGTTGAACCTGTCTTATGATAGGGGGTTGGATTATTAATCTTCACGTTCTGTTTTCCTACAAGATTCAGAAGATGAGCCTAGTGGGTCCCTTCCAACTCAGAATATTCTGCGAATCTGTCCCTCACAAAAGGGAGATTATGTAAGGACTGGACAGGGTTGTACTGAGTGCAGCAGACTGTTTGCCTCCTTTGTTTAAAAGTTTGGAAGGTGACTATTGAAGGAGTAAGGAGAATTTAGGAAGAAAAAGCCATGTTGCAACCGAAAGCTGCCCTGGAAATGTGGTTTCAATCCCCTTCTCTGCTACCGATGTCTAGTGCAATACTTGGGAATACAAGCTAAATTTTTAACAAGCACCTTAAAAATGCAAACTGCACACCCAAGCTGAGGCATATGAGACTATGTGGCAGAAGTGCTGAATACCCAAAGCTAGTAGCAGCAATGCTGTGAATATGTTACCTGCTTGTTCACTGTTCTCTGAAAAATCAGGATTTTGGTATCTTAAGCATCAAAAAGTAGTGGAAACTTCTTTTCTTTCCATTGCTCTCTATATCGTAAGGATAGTAAGCCCTCTCATTTCTCTGTAGTGGCTTACAGTCAAATTCAAAAAGAGTTTGAAATTACCTGAAAAAGGTAATTGATTTTTAATCAATTAAAATCAATTAAAACCAATTAATTAAGGTTTTTAATGTTGAAGATAGCCAGTGAAAACAGCATTAATTCTGCTGATGCTCCATTTCTGAAGAATATAAAATGAATAGAGAATGGAGCACACAGTGGACAGAAAACAAAGCATGTAAAAGCTCATGAGGAGAGGGGAACCTGTTTAAAGTTTGCCTCGCTGGTAACATTATCAATAGGTGTATTGTTCTGAAGTTTTATTTGGACTTCTGACTGCCTGTTGTGATTTTTTTAAACTCTGCAAACAGGATTTGTAATCTAAATTACCACAGCGTGTGACTTAGTTTATTACTCCCACCTAGGCCTGGCTTAAAGAGTATTAAATTTTGGTTGTAGATGTAGACCAGGGGTCTGATAAGGCCACACGTGTGGAAGATCCGGAGGTAACTGCATTAAGGCCATTCTAAGGGAGAGCTGGTTATGTTCGGCACTAAGTAAAATAGTTTCTGTATGAAAATGGTATGTGATCTTGTACTTGGAAGTTATCATCTAATATTTATTCACAGGGAGCAAAGACTAGAGCTGGGTCTCTGTTTTAGATCATTAGTGATAAGCCTGATCAAAGGTAGAAAAACAGTATCATGTGCAGATTGTAATTTTCAGGGGTTATGGAAATACTGACTGAGGCCATGAAGTAAAAGAAATTATATCAACAAAATAAATAAAGCTTACACTGGTTCTGGCTGGGATGCACTCTCAGGCATGGTTCATTAATCCAGTTTTCACTCTGAGTAGAGTGAGTTCTGTGATACCACATAGTGATGGCATATACACAGGAATCTCTGCCTGTTCTCATGTTCTTGTCTATATTTTCACAGGTTCTCATAGCTGCATTTGCAGCATCTGGCTATGCCTCTACATACTTCAGAGCAGGAAGCAAGCCATTTAACCCAGTGCTTGGTGAAACTTATGAATGTATTAGAGAAGACAAAGGATTTCGATTTTTCTCAGAGCAGGTAAAGCATGTTTCTATATAGACACTCCTGTTTATATTTAGATTTTGGTTTCTTCATTTTATAGAATAATCCCATTTTTTTCTTTCTAGTTAGAATGGTTTGCTTTCTTAATAGAAAATGAATATTGTAGTATGAGCGATCTTAATTAAATGCTACAGGTATACATTTTTATAGTAATCACAAGAAAGTGTTTTCAGTACAACCATGTAAATTGTATCTGTTTTCATACTAGCATAGGCTACTAAAGAGTGTGGGCTATTTAGTCTTTTCATATTGCAGTAACAACTGTATTGTCTAAGAAATAAAAATGAAATGTTTGTAACTCAGCCAAACTGTTTTCCAGGTTAGCCACCATCCTCCCATTTCGGCCTGTCACTGTGAATCGAAGAACTTCGTGTTTTGGCAAGGTACACGTTTTTATTCAAAAGCATAATTCCTTTTTTCTTAGCAAGTATAAACTTTGTCTGTTCAAGCTGAGTTTTGCATTTAGAATTCACTCAACATTTATTATTTTGCAGTAACATATTATAAACATATGGTCTAATTTACTTCACTCCAAATTCTCATTCTTAAGAGTGAGCAGAGGTATTACAACATCCCTTGTTGCTTGCAGTCTGTATACTTTTCTGCTTAAAAGCTTTTTACCAAGAAAATGACTATTTCTTACAAACACAAGTGGTTCTTTTTACACAGTTGAACAAATAGCTCCTTCTCTCATATCCTCTGGCATATGCCTTTAATTTTTATTGAATGTTTTAATGAGAGATTTGACACTAATGTGATTCCTAGGAGAAAATTAAACATATCTTTAGTTTTTCTGACCTCATGTAATTTTCTAGTTGTATTTTTTTCTTTTGTATTTTCATGGCAAATTCATACTGTCTGCTGCCCTGTTTTGAAACAGATGGTCTAGAACAGATCATCTTGTGTGCCACATAGATCACTGCAAGGGGGAGACTTTGGTCATTTCAGTTTTGTAAATCTTTCACTATTATATTCAGATATCAGGTGGAAAAACAAATTCTGGGGGAAATCAATGGAAATTCTGCCAGTTGGAACCTTGAATGTGACTCTTCCAAAGTAAGCTACTGTCCTCTTTTCCTGTGTTTACAGTTTTTGCTGCAATCTAATCTGTGCTGCTTTATGAATGGGTTGGGTAAAGTGTATGCAGACATCACATGAATTATTCTGGTGAGAGTTATTGCTTAGCTCAGATCTCCCCTTAGTGTTCAGGTGGAGTTACTGAAGCATTTTTGAGCCCAAAGATCCATTTCATTTTTTGGAGGAGAATTATACAAACTCTCTAGTTAATGATGGAGAGAAGGAGATAGAAATGCTTCAGGAGCGAGAACCCATGTTTTATATATGTACAGTAGTGGTCAGCTGTTCAGAACAAAGCTGCAATATAGGACTCTCGGCAGCAAACACTGTCCTGAGGCTGTCAATGCTGCTAAGTGTTCCTTCAGAACAACCACTAGTGACCTGATAAGGTCTTCTTTCCAAAATATTGATCAACCAAAGCATGTTCTTCAGATGTTGACAGACTAGTGAGAAGTAGTAGTTTCACCACAGGTAAGACTAGTTTCAAGTTGTAAATCCTAATAATATGCAAGGAGAGGATACTTTAGACATGTCTGCTGGTTTTGCAGTACTAATCCTGCTACCTGTACATTGCAGCCAGTCTTTCTTTCTGCCTCTAATGCTATGGCATCACTCCACTTCACCTGTTTATCCCTCTCATCAAATAGAAGTAAATGCACTCAGGAGCAACTTTGCCTTCTGTCTTCATGCTTGCCCCTAAGCTCTGAAGAAGAATGTGCCTTGCACAATATAATTCCCTCATTTTATTCTCTTTTTTGGCATTAGAGATGCTCTAACTCTGGATAGCTGTTAGAGAGGGAAAGGGGTGATGTGCCAGTGAGCTTCTGGCTTCCTACTTCCTTTCCTTGAGCTCCTTTCTATATTTATTTTGTTCTATTTGTATTGTAGCCTCAATTCAGCCTTATGTTGATCTTTGGGTCACTGTCCTGCCACTATAGGATTTGTGGCCAAAGTATTTAATGCTCTGAGGACACTGAATATGCCATACACAGCTTTAGTTGTTCATAAGGTCTTGATTTGTGGTTCTTAGCACCATTTTGCAGTTTTATGCACTGGAGCTTAGGTGAGCTTCTCTAAAGAAGGTTAGTAATGTATTCAGGAGCAGTACTTTATTGCTGTAAGCTATTCAGACATTTTTGAGGAATATGGTCTGGTATTTACAATAATGGAGCAATGTTTTACTCTTTTCTTTTTTTTTTTTTTGTCAGCAATGATCATGATTAATACATGTTACCAACTACTTTATAATCTGTTCTTAGGTATGGAGACTACTATGTCTGGAACAAAGTCACTACTTGCATACATAATATTCTTAGTGGAAGAAGATGGATAGAACACTATGGAGAGATAACCATCAGAAACACAAAAAGCAGCGTTTGTATTTGTAAACTCACGTTTGTCAAGGTAACATATAGATGCTAATATATATCCTAGATTCATAAAACTGCGTAATTTAAGCATACATCAATTTGTTTCTTCAGTATTCTTGAAATCCACATTCCACATTTTATCTTTATCTTATCAACATTCATAAACATGTAAATTGTCTAATGAGAATGCTGTGTCAAGCAGTATGATTCTGTTCCATTGAACATTTGATCTCAGTGTGCTCTGTTGCTGTATAGCTGTGTGCTGTACTGTTGGTTTTAGATTAAAAATCAAATGTCAATATTTTTGTCTATTGTCCCAATGAAAACACAAAATCACTGTACATTACTGTGCCATTTTGCATCTGCCTTTATTAGAATTTGTCAGCCAATATTTTCTCTCTTTAGATTATTTAGATTAAATAATGCTGCTTTGGTTTGTAGTATTTTAATATCCAGGCAAGGACCATATATAAAAATGGATCCCTATATAGCTATGTTACTATCGATTAATTTCCCTAAAAATAAGTTTATCTTCATACTGCATGTTTTGATGTAAGTTCTGGGAATGGGCAACTGGCTCTTAGATGAAGGTGTAAGAAATAAATGTGTCTAAGAGAAGCAAATCAACAAATAACAATTAATACTGGCTTAATGTCTTCCCTACTGCAAACAGTAGTGTGCAGAACCCATCAAAGGATTCTTTTACCGGTTCAGCTATATTCAGTATTTCTTCATATAGGAAGAGGAGAGTTAGCTGGCTCTGATAGGCAAAGTGTCATTTTAATGGAATTTTGGGGGATTTGGGTTAATGAATGACAACCTGGTTCCCACATGCGCAGATAATTTGGATGCTTTTATACCAAAACCACATAGCAAATTAGTCAGGGTTTCTCATATACTAAATAAATTAATATTCAGGTCATCTGAATTTTGAATGCTGGTATTCTTGGTTCCAGGTGAGCTGTTATAATACAAAATTTGGACAGTGGGTGCCACACCCCAAGATTCATGCTGTACCTGTAATGGTACAATGGGTAATGTGAAAACCAGTGTGAACTAGTAATTCTTTGTTAAACTTGCAGGTGAACTACTGGAATTCAAATGTAAATGAGGTCCAGGGTGTTGTGATAGATCAAGAAGGGAAGGTGGTTCATCGCCTCTTTGGCAAGTGGCATGAAGGCCTTTATTGTGGGGTTGCACCTTCAGCCAAATGCATATGGAGGCCAGGTAAGAAGCTTGAAATAAACTCTGGCAGGCATTGAAGGGTAACCCTAAACTATGTAATGCTGATTTAGCCTTCATTTTAAATACATGGGATGCTACTGGAGTAATTAAATTCCTGACTAGACAAATAAACAAGAACTTAACATGAATTTATAATAATGGTAAATAGAAATGTTCTTGCAGGGCATAATCTTCTACATCTCAGTCTGACTCCTGGTCAAATGTGCTGCAGTCTTGGGGTCAACATAAGAATAAAATTAAGAGAAAAATTGGGTTTCTGGGCCGGCCTGCCTTCCTTCTCACACAGAGGGGGGTAACTTACTTAGATTCAACAAATAGGAGTTTACTGAGTTTGTTGTCTTAATAGTTTATTAGCCTGAATGATTGGTCTTCAGAGATGGTGAGTGTCTGTGATTTTAGGAGGTGATTTCAACTTCCTTACTTCTTACTTAGAGGCATTGAGATTGAATTACTCAACCTTTGCATCTATAGTATCTTTCATACATGCATTATACAGGAATTGTCATTATTCTTAGTGCTGAAGGTGTTGGACAGTGCTGAATCAGTCTATGAGTTCCAAAACTAAGTCTGAAGATCAGTTAAGCTTAGGTTTTAGAAGGACATTTGGTAAGTCCACTTTCTGGGGGACAGGAAACTATTTTAGACTTGAAAATCTTGAAAACATTGATGTTTATTTAAAAAGGAAGGAAGATCATAAATGTTTTGAATCTATTAGCATGTAATTACAACCTCTGCAGGATAAGCACTTAATATTTAGTGAATTTTGTTCCACCAAGAGAACAGCTTTTGATGCTTTTTAATTGTAAAATATATTAACATATATTTCTGTCATAATTTAAGAAAGGAGTTTCTTGCATATTTAGAGCAGTATTTTAAAAAGCTTTTTTTCTTTCATGTGCATACAGGTTCCATGCCAACCAATTATGAACGTTATTATGGCTTCACCAGGTTTGCTATTGAGCTCAATGAATTAGATCCTTTACTGAAAGATCTTCTTCCTAAAACAGACGCACGATTCAGGCCAGATCAAAGGCAAGAATGTTTATTTATACACTTAGTATTTGGTGGGTTTACGGTTGGGTTTGGCTGAGTCTTGAATTTTGTCTGTGTCTTCACTACAGTCTGAATTAAGCTTTAGAGGATTCTGCTAGTAGAGAAGATACTCAGTATTGCAGTGAAATTTCTGCTTCAACCAGTTGAGGGAAAGTAGAAAGCTTCTTGTTGATACAGTAGAGCTGTAGTGCAATCTTGGGGCAGATTCCTCATCAACTGAAAGAGAGGCTCCTAAATCTCATGCCCTCCACCAGTGAATGGAAGCAACTCTAATTCCCTCCTGCTTCTCAGTTGGCAGTACTTGATTCAGCTTTCGTGATACGCTGAAGTTACTGAAGAAAGTGTATGTCTTAGGCTCTAGGTCAAGTACATGTAGCTGGGAAGTGATATCTCGGACTAGACCTGAAAGTGAGTACAACACAAACAACAGACTTGGCTTCTGCTTGTCTTTTGTGGTGACTGATGGTAGAAAATCCCTTGTACTAGACTTGGTATGCTATAGGATCTGCTGTTATTCCTACAGGCTTCTGGAGGAAGGAAATATAGAAGCAGCAGCATCTGAGAAACAAAGAATAGAGGAACTCCAACGAGCTCGGAGGCGGTACATGGAAGAAAATGGCATTGAATATGTACCCAAATTTTTTAAGTGAGTCTGTTTTTTGAGTAGTAAGTCTCTGGTCAAAGGAACTACAAGAATTGCTACCAACATAGTCTGCGAATCATGAAAGCTTGGAAAGTGGCAGATTTAAGAGTGATAATCAGATACCTGATCTCTGGCTGAAGCAATTTTTACATAGTTCAAAGCTTCATAAAAATTCTCACAATGGGCAACAGCTGTACAAGCCTACTGCACCCCTTGGCCACTTTTTTGAGCTTTGAAGTGGAATAGAAGTATAATATTAGGATCTAAGATTTAACTAGGTTATTTTTTTAAACCACCACATAAACCAAGGAATAACATGTGGCCTGAACAGCAACATCATACATATGTATCTCTATAAAATGTATATATAAATGTATATGTATACACTTAAAATTTATTTAGTTTTGAGTGGATGTTTTGGGGGTTCTTTTTGGTTGGTTGTTTTTTAATTAAGCATTCTTCTGAAACAAGGGGTCATCATACCAAGTAGCCTGTTGTTCAGCATGGGGAATCAAAAGTGAAAAGACTCAAAGTGCTTTATGCAGTTGTAGTGTAAGGTGGGCAAAATACAGAGGAGACAAAAAAGTAAATGGTAAAACACTTACATTGTGCAAGCTACATCTACTGGATCATCCCCTGCACTTAATCAGAATCTGTAATGGACAAAGAGGTTTTATGTGGCTCTAAGAAATGCTCACACAGATCAGACAACAGATTTGCAGTCTTGACTGTTTTCTCTATATTCCTCTTTTGATATAGGAAGAGGTTGTTTTTTGTTTTTAAATCTCTGACTGCTCTTGTGTCCTTTAGAAATATGCAATTGGATCTAATACTGAGTTAGATCAAAGAGGTATGGAATTTGATTTTATATTCCAAAAGAGCAAAGATCTTTGGTCAAAACTCTTTTACCCCTCTCTATCTCTTTTTCCCCTTTCTACAGAAAAGTTATCGACGCTAATCAAAGAGAAGCTTGGGTTACCAATGACACCTACTGGGAACTGCGAAAGGATCCTGGCTTTAGTAAAGTAGACATTCCCATACTCTGGTAAACTGAGAATGTAGGTCTAACAAACATATCACTCTGAAGAAAAAAATAACTATGCACAATATGTTTCTTATAGCTAAGCGTGGTTTGTGGGTCTACGGAAAAACCTATCATACGCATTTATATTCATCTTTATAATGGACTTTTGAAAGTGCATTAGACCAGGCCCCTGACCACTTCTGGATCTTCTTAATTTTGCAACAGCCATTTAAAAAAAAAGAAAAAAAAAAAAGAAACAGAAACCTTTTAAAGTTTCATATGCTGAAAATTCAGAGAAAAAGAAGCAGATGAGTTATCCAAAGTCACTTGGAAGAGGTGGTAAGCGCAAAACTGCAACCGGTGCTTTAAACAGACATTAAGAGTAATGTAATTTAAACACAGAAGAAAAAAAGGAAGAAAAAGAGAAAAAATCCATTTTGTTTCAACTATTTTTGTTAAAATTCTTGGGTCACAACATTGTCATTTCTGGCTTTAGGTTAGTCCTTTGGTGTGATGTGCTTGGACTGGCCTTCATCAAAAAGATATGCTTTTCTGAAAGCTGTTCCCATTCATATGCCATTGTTCATGCCTTAACAAAATATTGAGATGTACAGTAAGTAATTTTAAAATATCTGTGCTTAGGCTTGTGTGAAGGGCAGATTTTTAAAGCACTAGAATTTTATCATAATAGAAGTATTGGAAGACCTGCATTATGTAAAATCAAAGACAACCAAACATCTAACTGTATTTCAGAGGAATGAGATCTACTGTACATGCTTTAGTTTTGGGAAGCTGACTGTATAATCAGACTGAAAAGAAACTGCCAGCTGGTTGAATTTGAGACAATTTTGGTAAATGCATATGAATTGCTAGTCACAAAGTTCATATTCTAAATGACTGAGGCTGAGATGCAATCACCACTTTTAGCACTGGCTGGACGTAGACAATGAATCTCATTTCTCCTTATCTGTTTATACAATTAGAAATCCCTGAAGCTTTGCAGCAGCATTGAAGGCACAGAATGATTTCATGGGAAGGTCTCTGGCTTCTCACCAGAAGCTGGATAGTATGTAAATGCAGCTGTTTTCTGCCACACACACTGTTTACTTTACTGGCTCTGGTTTTTTTGCCCATTCACTTTTCTTATTTAAATTTATATTTGAGAGTAAGGCAGAGGCTCCCATGTGTTGTAGCTAACAACTACTACTTGTGTTGCCAAAATAGGTTTTATGCAAAATTAGACTTTGCAGTTTTTCATGAAGTGGTTCTATATTTTTTGATTAAGAACCAAGTCTCTTACGTGTTTCTAAGCCTCGGTTAATATATGTGGGAGAAGGCTTGACACTTTCTATTTGAAAATCTCTGAAACATTAAACAGTAGGAGTGAGATATGAATAAAAATAAAAAAATTATTAAATAAAAACTACATTCCATATGGTATGATCTAGTCTTCCATCTATGCATGTACATCCCACCACTGATGACAGGTTAGATTTCATGCATATATTCTGTATTTCTTTCTGCACATAGACAGAAGATATAATGCACACAAAGTTTTCTGTTTAAGATGGATTCCAGTAGTGAGACCTAAAAATAATTACTAGATAGGTATGTGATCCTGCCAGCAGAGCTGCTGGAACAGTTCTCAGTGGATTACTGCACATACCCAGCTCTCAGTCTCCTTTCTTTTGCAGAGCCATGTTTCTATTGAACTGAGATTGGTAATTTAGTATCAATTTTGTTCTTCCCCTTGACTGTATGGCAAAGCAATTAGCAGGGCAACTAGCTACTAATCAATTCCAATTTCTTCATGTAGTTCTGTTACCAGAGAGAACTATGAAAGAATGCAGAAAATACTAATTAGACTTTTTAAGAATTGTGAATGCTTATGGTTTGTTTATGAATATTCAGTATAAAAAAACCCTATGGGCAGATTAACAGAATTTCTTCCAAGGAAAATATTTAAGTTATTCAAAGAATGTTATACTTTTCTTTCCTAGTTGAACCTAGTCTAATTTATTTATTTTTTTTAGTTTTGCAATCGTTACAAGCAAATGAAGATATATCAAAGTTTTAATTTTTAAATACTGTTTGGTTAACTTCATCCTACTTGCTTCAGTGATATTACACTTGAATCAAATTGGCACATTGTGTGCAAAAGAGCAATTAATTATTCTATGTCACTTTCTTTAAAACCAACTCTATTAAACACTTGTCCACCTCTTGGTCCAGTCTTTGTGTGCAGTTCACCGTGATATTAGAAAGCATTATGTGTGTATGACTGCAAGTACATTTGAGGGACAGAACTGCATGTCCTCAAATTTTACATTTCAATACAGAAAGAAGGTCTTTAGTTTTGCAGTGTTCTGGTAGTGCTTTATCAATGCCATTGTTTGCAATGCAGACTGAAACCTGATGAACGCTGAAGATGCTATCACTGATGTAATTCCTTTTTAGAATTGTTTATTTGACACTGATTGAAAGAAAAATAATTAACATTTTGTCGTGGTTTAA